TGGCCCGGCGCCGGTGGCTCACGCCTGTAATCCTACACTCTGGGAAGGCTGAGTGGGCGGGATTGCTCGAGGACAGGAGTTTGAAGCGGCCACTGAGCAAGAGCAAGACCCCGTCTGCTACTATAAAATAAACGAAATTAATTGGCCAACTAATATATATAGAAAAATTATAGCTGGGCCATGGTGGCACATGCCTGGTAGTCCCAGCTAATTGGGAGGCTGAGCAGAAGGATTGCTTGAGCCCAGGAGTTTGAAGTTGCTGTGAGCTAGGCCGACGCCAAGCGCACTCGCTCTAACCGCCTGGGCAACAAATCGAGACTCTTCTGTCTCCCAAAAAAAAAAAAAAAGAAAATTACAGGCCAAGTATGGCTATCTACAGGAAACACATCTAAATCCTGCAAGGATGGCCATATAGACTTAAAGTAAAAGGGTGGCATGATCAGTATTCCAAAGCAAGTGTAAACCAAAAAGAAGGTCTGGCCGTGGCAGTTCATAATTTCATGACAATTTTAGTTGTTAAACCAACAAAAGTCAGTGAAAGACAAAGAGGTCATTATAGTAGATGGTGAAGGGCACACTTCAACAATGTAAGAAGATAACAATTTAAGAAATATATATGCATCCAACTTAGGTGGCACCATCAGATTCATATAAGCAAGCTTACTGAATCTAAGCAATGTATTAATAAGCAACTCCCTATAATCACTGGAGATATCAACACCCCACTGCGGCACAAGACAGATCCCTCCAACAGAAAATTAATAAAGAAATAATGGACTTAAAACACAAAACTCTAGATACGATGGGTCTGACTGAACATTTTAAGGACATTCTAACCCCAAAATCAACACTGAACATAACCGTTCTTCCTCAGTCAGCTCATGGGATCATTCCTCTAAGATTGACCTATCCTATGGACACAAAGTAAATCTCAAGAAATTTAAAAAAATAGAAATCATACCATGTACTTCTCAGATCAGTGGAATAAAAGTAGAATCAACCTACGAATCCACATTTCTACACAAAAACGTGGAATTAAACAACTCCTTACTAAATGATTACTTCATAAATGGAAAAATCAAGATGGAGATTAAAAAATTCTATGAACAAAATGACAAATGGAGAGACAAAGTTATCAAATCCTCTGGACACAGCTAAAGCAGTTCTGAGAGGAAAGTTTATCTCCATAAATGCCTATAACCAAAAGACAAAAAGATCACAAACAGGACATCTAATGAAACAATCAAAGAGTTGGAAAAAGAAGACAGACCAACCCCAAACCCAGCAGAAGAAGTGGAAATCAAACAAGATCAATCAGTACTAAATGAAATTGAAAACAGGGAAGATATTCAGGAGATTAATAAAACAAAAAGTGGTTCTTTGAAAAAATAAACAATGACACGCCATTGGCTAACTAACGAAAAGCAGAAAGAGAAATCTTCTAATAGCTCCATCAGGAACAAAAAAGGAGATTATCACAACTGATCCCAAAGAGATACAAGACATAATTTATGAATACTACAAAAATCGTTATGCACACAAACTGGAAAAGTGGAGAATGGACAAAATTTCTAGAAACACACAGCTCCCTAGGCCTACCAGGAAGAAATAGATTTCCTGAACAGACCAAATCTCAACAGCTGAAATATAAACAGGAATTAAAATCTCCTAAAAAGAAAAGTCCCAGTCCAATGGTTTCACACCCGAATTTACCACACTTACAAAGAAGAACTAGTACTATCTTGCAGAAACTATCCACAGCATCGAGAAGAACGGAAAACCTCCCGACACCTTTTATGAAGCAAATATTACTTCTGACACCAAAACGAGGAAAGGATGCAACAAAAAAAGGAAACTACACACCAATATCTCTAATGAATATAGATGCAAAAATGTTCAACAAAATCTTAGCTAACCGAATCCAGACAAAAAAATAATCCATCATGATCAAGTGGGCTTCATCCCAGGGATGCAGGGATGGTTCAACATACATAAATCTATAAATGCAATTCACCACATAAACAGAAGCAAAAACAAAGACCACATGATTCTCTCAATAGATGCAGAAAAAGCTTTTGAACAAATTCAACACCTTTCATTATAGAACAAATTAAAAATAGGCATAGAAGGGACATAACTAAAATGATATAAGCCATATATGATAGACCCATAGCCAACATCATTCTGAATGGGGAAAAATTAAAAGCATTCCCACTTAGAACTGGAACCAGACAAGGCTGCCCACTATCTACACTTCTATTCAAAATAGTGCTGGAAGTCCTGGCTACAGCAATCAGACAGGAAAATGGAATTAAAGGTATCCAAATAGGGGCAGAAGAGATCAAACTTTCACTGTTTGCTGATGATATGATATTATACTTAGAAAACCCAAGGATTCAACCAAGAACTCCTGGAACTGATAAATGAATTTAGTAAAGTCTCAGGATACAAAATCAATACACAGAATCAGAGGCATTCATATACGCCAACAACAATCTCATTGAGAACCAAATCAAATACTCAATTCCCTTCACAATAACAACAAAGAAATTAAAGTACCTAGGAATATACTTAACCAAGGACGTAAAAGACCTTTACAGGGAGAACTATGAAACACTGAGGAAAGAAATAGCAGAGGATGTAAACAGATGGAAATCCATACCACGCTCGTGGATCGGCAGACTCAACATCATTAAAATGTCTATACTACCCAAACTGATCTACAGATTCAATGCAATACCTATTAAAATTCCATCAGCATTCTTCACAGATATAGAAAAAATAATTTTACGCTTCGTATGGAACCAAAGACGACCCCGAATATCAAAAGCAATTGGTGGGCAACAAAAACAAAATGGAGCATTAATATGCCAGATTCAAATCATATACTACAAAGCTGTAGTAATTAAATCAATCTGGTATTGGCACAAAAATAGAAATATTGACCAGTGGAACAGATCTGAGAATCCTGATATAAAACCATCCTCATATAGCCATCTAATCTTTGACAAACCAGACAAAAACATATGCTGGAGAAAAGAATTCCTTTTCAATAAATGGTGCTGGGAAAACTGGATAGCCACCTGTAGAAGGCTAAAGCAGGACCCACACCTTTCACCTCTCACAAATATCAACTCACACTGGATAGCAGACTTAAACCTAAGGTATGAAACTATTAGAATTCTAGAGGAAAATGTTGGAAACACTCTCCTAGACATTGGCCTAGGCAAAGAGTTTATGAAGAAGTCCCCAAAGGCAATCACAGCAGCAACAAAAGTAAATAAATGGGACATCATCAAACTAAAAAGCTTCTGCACAGCCAAAGAAACAGTCATGAAAGTAAACAGACAACCTATAGAATGGGAGAAAATTTTTGCATCCTATGCATCCGATAAGGGGCTGATAACTAGAATATACTTAGAACTCATGAAAATCAGGAAGAAAAAAATCAAATAACCCTATTAAAAAGTGGGCAAAGGACTTGAACAGAAACTTTTCTAAAGAAGACAGAAGAATGGCAAATAAACATATGAAAAATGCTCAACATCTCTAATCATCAGGGAAATGCAAATCAAAACCACAATGAGATATCACTTAACTCCAGTGAGAATGGCCTTTATTCAAAAAGTCTCCAAACAATAAATGCTGGCTTGGATGCGGAGAGAGAGGAACACTCCTACACTGCTGGTGGACTGCACAAATAGTTCAACCTCTGTGGAAAGCAATATGGAGATACCTTAAAGCAATACAAGTGAATCTACCATTTGATCCAGCAATCCCATTGCTGGGCATCTACCCAAAAGATCCAATGACACTCTCCAAAAAGGACACCTGCACTCGAATGTTTATAGCAGCACAATTCATAATTGCAAGGCTGTGGAAACAGCCCAAGTGCCCATCAATCCAAGAATGGATTAATAAAAATGTGGTATATGTATACCATGGAGTACTATTCAGCTCTAAGAAACAACGGTGATATAGCACATCTTATATTTTCCTGGTTAGAGCTGGAACCTATACTACTAAGTGAAGTTTCCCAAGAATGGAAAAACAAACACCATATATACTCCCCAGCAAACTGGTATTAACTGAGCAGCACCTAAGTGGACACATAGGTACTACAGTAATAGGGTATTGGGCACATGGGAGGGGGGAGGGGGTGGGTATATACATACATAATAAGTGAGATGTGCACCATCTGGGGTTGGTCATGCTGGAAACTCAGACTTGTGGGGGGAGGGGGGAATGAGCATTTATTGAAACCTTAAAATCTGTACCCCCATAATATGCTGAAAAAAAAAAGATGAATGAAAGAAGCTAGACACAAAAGAATACATTTTCTATGATTTCAATTTGAGAAAATATAAACCAGTTTAAAAACAGATAAAAGCTATCTCATGGTGATAGAAGTCAGAATAAGGTTATTTCTGGGAAAAGGAGGAGTGTCAATTAGGAAAAGGCATGAGGGAATTCTCTAGAGCTAGCAATATTCTGTGTATTGATTGGGTCTTTTTTTTTTTTTTTTAGACAGAGTCTCACTCTCTTGCCTGGGCTAGAGTGCCATGGTGTCAGCCTAGCTCACAGCAACCTCAAACTACTGAACTACTGGGGTCAAAGGATCCTCCTGCCTCAGCCTCCCAAGCAGCTGGGACTACAGGACCACGCTACCGAGCCTGGCTAATTTTTTTCTATTTTAAGTTGTTTGGATAATTTCTTTGTATTTATAGTAGAGACGGGGTCTCACTCTTGCTCAGGCTGGTCTCAAATTCCTGAGCTCAAGCAATCCTCCCACCTGGGCCTCCCAGAGTGCTAAGATCACAGGCGTGAGCCACTGCACCTGGCCTTGATTGGGTCTTGATTCCATATGTAAACATTCCTCAAGCTGTACACTTAAAACTTTTTGCTCTTAACTGTATATATTCCTTAATGAAAGATATAATAGATAAGCTGTTTTGAGAAAGGTGAAGGTGAACCAATGGATACCTTCATTTGGTACTTACTTTGGAAGCTGCCCGGTCAATCCAGCCTTTAGCACAAGGGTCAACATTAATGAGCACAAGGCCTTCCACAAGCTCAGGATGATTGAGCTGAGACAAAGACAACAGTGTGAAACTTCCACTCCAACAGTTCTTCTAAAGAGTTGGAACATGGTTAATCAATTCTTACTATGCCTTAACGCCTGACATTTGAAAGTAAGACTATAGGCCAGGCACGGTGAATCACGCCTGTAATCCTAGCACTCTGGGAGGCCGAGGTGGGTGGATTGCTTGAGGTCAGGAGTTCAAAACCAGCCTGAGCAAGAGTGAGACCCCATCTCTACTATAAGTAGTATGAAATTAATTGGCCAACTAATATATAGAGAAAAAATTAGCTGGGCATGGTGGCGCATGCCTGCAGTCCCAGCTACTCAGGAGGCTGAGGTAGGAGGATTGCTTGAGCCCAGGAGTTTGAGGTTGCTGTGAGCTAGGGTGATGCCATAGGACTCACTCTAGCCTGGGCAACAAAGCGAGACTCTGTCTCAAAAAAAAAAAAAAAAAAAAGTAAGACTACAGAAAGGTGTCTAGGAAGTATATGTAGAAATATAGCTCTTGCAATCTGATTTAGCATCTAGAAACAAATTTCTTTTTTTTTTTTGAGACAGAGTCTCACTCTGTTGCCCAGGTTAGAGTGCCATGGCGTCAGCCTAGCTCACAGCAACCTCAAACTCCTGGGCTTAGGTGATCCTCCTGCCTCAGCCTCCTGAGTAACTGGGACTACAGGCATGTGCCAGCATGCCCGGCTAATTTTTTTCTATATATTTTTAGTTGGCCAATTAATTTCTTTCTACTTTTAGTAGAGACGGGGTCTCGCTCTTGTTCAGGCTGGTTTCGAACTCCTGACCTTGAGTAATCCGCCCGCCTCACCCTCCCAGAGTGCTAGGATTACAGGCTCTAGCCACCACACCCAGCCTGGAAACAGATTTCTTAAATCACTATCAAATGATCTTGCCTCACAAGGATATAGGGAAGACAAGTTGTTTTTTTGTTTTTTTTTTTTTTCATTTCTACAGCAGAGGAAAGCACTTGATTGGTCTGTAATTGTTCAACTCATGGTGGATCTTCCCTACTGGGAAAATGCTCTTGGAACTACTTGGCAACGCGGGTACTCAGGCATAGAAGGGCTATTTCCCATTCATATATCTTTGTTCCAAATAGGGGCTCCTGAAGATTTTCCTGAAACCACCTGAATACGTGATACCATCCTTAGAAGTCTCTCCCACCATTTAGCAGGCATTTTTTTTAAGAAAGTTCCTTCAACAAGAACATTTCCATGTAAACTCAAAATTCCAGCTTACATTTTTTTCTCTTATTACACTAATTATGCTCTCTATAGAAAAATCTAATAAACAGAGAAATTATAAAATGCAGGAAATAAAATCTCATGTTTTCTCACCACACATCAATCCCTGTTAATATTTTAGAACACTTCCTTCCAGTCCTTTGCTATGATGATGAACAACTTTGTGAATCTGTATTCGAACTTTTTGGTTAATGTTATATACATGCAGATTCTGTATTATCATAAGGTTTTCTTAAACTTAATTTTAATGGCTGTAAAAAATTCCATCATAAGTAGCATCAACGCCTTTCTTTCTTTTCTTTTTCTTTTTTGAGACAGAGTCTCATTCTCTTGTATCGGCTAGAGTGCAGTGGCATCATCATAGCTCACTGCAACCTCAAATTCCTGATCAAGTGATCCTCTTGCCTCAGCCTCCTGAGTAGCTGGGACTATAGGCATGTGCCACCATACTCAGCTAATTTTTCTATTTTTTGTAGGGACGTGGTCTCATTCTTGCTCAGCTGGTCTTGAACTCCTGACTCAAGCAATCCTCCTGCCTTGGTCTCCCAGAGTGCTAGAATCACAGGCGTGAGCCCCCTCACCCAGCCTAGGCCTTACTTTCAATTGACAATGTACTCCCCTCATCTGTGGTTTTTCAAGCACTGTAAGTACTAAGCAAGACTCCATCTGAAGCACACAGAATTCACAGAAAAACTGACATAAGACCCAGAATAGTGCCTGGTCATTTAACACAGCACTAACATCTGTGACCTAGGCAGTGCCTCAAGGGTACTGAATCCTCTCTACATACTTACTGCAAATCTGCTGAGGATGTAAGCTCCAGCTCCAACTCCAATCCCAATGATGCTTTTCAGACTGTGAATGGGGCATACCAACAATTGACAGAGTCAACTTCATTTGGAGCAGCATTACACAATGGAAAGAAAACAACCCAAATCCTGGCTCTGACATGAGAATTTGGGCAAGTTTTTTTGTTTGTTTTGTTTGTTTGTTTGTTTGTTTTGTGACAGAGTCCCACTCTGCTGCCCAGGCTAGAGTGCCATGGCGTTAGCCCGGCTCACAGCAACCTCAAACTCCTGGGCTCAAGCAATCCTTCTGCCTCAGCCTCCCAAGCAGCTGGGACTACAGGCATGTGCCACCATGCCCTGCTAATTTTTTCTATATATTTTCAGTTGGCCAATTAATTTTTTTCTATTTTTTTAGTAGAGACAGGGTCTTGCTCTTGGTCAGGCTGGTTTCCAACTCCTGACCTTAAGTGATCCACCCGCCTCAGCCACCCAGAGTGCTAAGATTACAGGCATGAGCCACTGTGCCCAGCCTTTTGCTTAATTAAGCATCCTTCTGATGCTTAATTTCCCTACCTATAAAACAAGGATACCACCATCTACTTTCAAATTGATCTTAATGGTTAAATAATGTATGACTGAAACCTGGGAAACGTCCATGACCACTCACTGTCCTATCACCTCAATATCCAACCCATCAGGAAGTCAAGTGCAGTTTATCTCTAGAATGTTTCCATCTATCTCCATCTGCTTCAGCCCCTCCCCCGACAGCATCCAGTACCAAGCTATCATTAATTCTTGCCTGGATTTCTGTAATAGTTTTACTGTTCTTCCTGTTTTTTCTCCCTTACTCTTCTCCAAGCCATTCTCTCCACAGCAAGAGTAACCCTAACCCTAACCCTAACCCTAACCCCTTCTAAAAATTTAAACAGCTTTATTGATGTACGATATACATACCTAGAGTGATCATTGTAAAAAAAGTAAATTGGATATCACTCCCCTGCTTAAAACTCTTCAAGGTCTTTTCTTTACATTTAGAATAAAATCACAAAGTCTTATCTGATCTGTTAGACCTATGTAATCTGGTCCTTGTCTGTTTCTTGAATTTCACTCCATGCCTTTCTTCCACTTGCTCATCTGGCCCAGGGCCTTTGGACATATTCTTTCTGTCCAGAATTCTCTTGCCCTGGCTGTCTGTCTAGGTGGCTCCTTTTCATCTTCCAGGTCTCAGGCTAGATGACCCCTTCCCAGAGAGATGTTCCCTAACTACATTCATTCATGCAGACCCTGCCTTTATTCTCTATCACAATACCCCCACTGGCTTTTTCATGGTACTTTAGTGTGTCTGTTTCCTTGTTAACCCACTAACTCCAAGAGAAGAGCGACTATTCTGTTTTGCTCACCATCCTATCCTCTGGAACACACATTACAGAATTGACTACACAAAGTCAATAAAAACTGTGAAAGACTGCAGAAGGAACCTACCTCAAGTGGGTAAGAATAGGAGGCAGCATCTCAGCCAGCTCATCCATTGTGGGGTACTGGTACCTGAAATCCAGAAGGATATCTCCTGAATTAGAAACCACTCACAATTCTCAGTTACTAGAAAGTAACTAGCTGGAAAGTACAGGAGGCTTAGATAAAAACATTTGCTCTTACCAAAAGCTCAAAAGAGGTAATGTGAAAACAATGTGGCATGTTGTATAATTCTCTATGACTGACATGCTAAAAAGAAAGCAAAAGAACCCCCATGTTTCTGTATCCTAAAGAACAGTCTCTGGGACCAGACGAAGCCATGTGAGAAGAACTGGTAATATGGTTCTCTACTAGTGTGATTCCAAACCCACTTCAAATGGGGTCCAGGCTCAATAAACTTTCAGCAGTAAAAGTCAACTCAGGAAGTGGCTCTTTGCCTACAGCTTATATTAGGCAGCAAAACACAAACATAAACAAAGCTTCATGGGGCCTAGGCACAGTTACAAATCCTGAGCATGAATGTTTATTTGTAACTATAGGATAACATGGTTATTTTAGTAATTGTTTTTGGATTTGGTTCACATATGAGCCATTTGATCCTAAAATGGTCAGGCAAGCCCAGAAACAGACCCAAGCCAGGAATCCAAGAAAAGCAAGGAGCATTCACAGAGATTACAGAATCAGAGATGAAAGGATGCTAAGATGACAGCCTGTATGTGACGCAGGGTCTGCTTTACATCTGACAGGGAAGTCAGCCTGCCTCTGCTGGAACACTTTAAGGAAGGGAGTGCTCTTGAACCATTTGTGTACAAAAGAGAAAAGAGGGACTGCATCCAAATCTTATTGGATATGAACTGAGTACTGGCCAATCTGCATTTGAGAGGCAGAACAATTTGGACACGGTCAACACAGATTCTGGACCCAGAATGCCTGGATCAAATCCTTGCTCTGCTACTTACTTCTTATGTAATCTTAGCCAAGTTATTTAATTTTCCTGTGCCTCTGTTTCTTAATTGATAAAATGGGAATAACAGTAAACTTAATCCTATCTCATAGGGTTATGAAGATGAAATGAATTAATAAATGTAAAGCATTGGCAGCAGCATCTGGAACACTGAGTACTATGTAAGTGTTAGCTATCATTTGTCTGCAATGGTCTATTTCACAGCAGTCACTAGCCAAAGGCAGCTCTGGAGACAAGTAAAAGGAGAGGGGAAGAAATAGCATCCCACGGCGTGTGCTCTCACTCCTCCTCCTGGGGTCCTCTGGATAAGCACATTGTCCAGGGAACAGGAAGGGAGCCTAGGACTCTGCCATGCAAAGCAGGCTTGGGGTGAAGCTCAGCATGCCAAGGCCAGTCACACTGCACCTCTATCTGCCAGGACAGCCTCTCCGAATAAATGGTTACACAGACATTCAATTTCCATCACTAGATTAGGAACTAAGGATGGGAGATGTTCCCAGGTATGCTCAGAGGGATCTGAATTTTGGCCTAGTAGTTGGGAGTTCCAGAGAGGGACTCGAAAACAACAGATTTAAAAGTAGACAAAGAAGGGGACAGATAAAAGATTGTGAGAAGTGGGTATACCAGACACGTACGCTTTCTTATTATAGGAAAGCAGGTTCCTGCTATGAAGAGCCATATCTGGATATGGGAAAACATGCAGTTCCCCCCAACAGACTACACATAACAGTCCTCTCAGCCCCCAGAGACAAAATGTGAGGATGGTTGGTTAAGTTGGTTAAGTGCAACCTATTGGTTGTGATAAAATCAAGTGAAAGGAAGCATACACTGCTTCCACTGCAGCTAAGTCATTTGCTCTTCTGAGTGCATGTCTCTCAGGAGATCTTGCTTGTGGCCTTACCCTGTTGGGAAAGGGGGTGCACCTTCCTGCTGGCCTGGGGCATCCACATGGCAGACAACAAAGCGTTGGGTGATCTCTTGCATATCCTCAAAGTTAAAGAATGAGTTGAAACAGGATTTATCTATAAGAATAAAATTGCCCATGAGTCATAGTCTCTCCATTTCTCCCCAGTTTTCCCACTACTAAGTCAATGCATACTCATCAAGGCTCTTTTATTTGTTTCCTTATTCTTGTTTTTTTTTTTTTTTTTTACATTTTTTTTTTAAATATTTTAAATTTTACACGCTAGATCAAACAGAAGAAATCTTTTTTTTTTTGGAAACAGAGTTTCACTCTGTTGCCCAGGCTACATCGCCTTGGCGTGAGGCTATCTCATAGCAACCTCAAACTCCTGGGCTCAAGCAATCCTCCTGCCTCAGCCTCCTGAGTAGCTTGGACTATAGACATGGGCCACCCACGATACCTGGCTTTAAAAAAAAAAAATATATATATACTATATATATCATATAATATATACAATACCGCACTACGGGTGCAGAGTGGCTCACGCCTGTAATCCTAGCACTCTGGGAGGACAAGGCAGGTGGATTACTCAAGGTCAGGAGTTCAAAACCAGCTTGAGCAAAAGCGAGACCCCATCTCTACTATAAATAGAAAGAAATTAATTGGCCAACTAATATATATACAAAAAATTAGCTGGGCATGGTGTTGCATGCCTGTAGTCCAGTTACTTGGGAGGCTGAAGCAGAAGGATTGCTTGAGCCTAGGAGTCTGAGGTTGCTGTGAGCTAAGCTGATGCCACTGCACTCTATCCTGGTCAACAAAAGTGAGACTCTGTCTCAAAAAAAAAAAAAAAAATATATATATATATATTTAGTTGTCCAGCTAATTTCTTTCTATCATTTTAGTAAAGACAGGATCTCGCTCTTGCTCAGGCTGGTCTCGAACTCCTGAGCTTAAAACATTTGCCCCTCTTGGCCTCCCAGAGTGCGTGCTAGAGTTACAGGCGTGAGCCACCATGCCCGGCCTGATATCACAGTCTTCTTTCACTTCCTTTGAACTACCATTCCTCTAAAGTGAGATGTCGTGATTCAAGCTGCCCTAAAGGTTGAATAGGACATAGCTCATATTGAGATACAATTTGCTGATGTTTGTTTGTTTTAGGTGTTGCACAAAAATAATCTTACATCTGTAATTGTTGTCATTTCTCATGCACATCATTCTCTGTCTAACAAATAGTCTGGCTAAACTGAATGTCTTGAGCTTCTTACATTCACCATGTGGAAGCTGTGTCCTGGCACAACTGCTAGGGTGCAGGAAGGGTGTTGCTTCACTTTCTCTTAGAAACTGGTTAAATCACTTCTTATCTAAGGTAGCTACAAAAGCTCTAGTACCAAACTGAGGTTTCAAATGCAGGCCACCTCTGATAACCAGACAGTGTGAAAGAAAACACATGGCTATGTGTTTTCTCTATGGCTAGAGCCATAATCTTATACTGCCATCTAGAAAAGTCCACTTAAAGTCACCGATGACAGGCTGTAGCAAGAATACTTGTTTTTTTTTTTTTGAGACAGAGTCTCACTATGTTGCTCAGGCTAGAGTGAGTGCCGTGGCGTCAGCCGAGCTCACAGCAACATCAAACTCCTGGGCTCAAGCGATCCTACTGCCTCAGCCTCCCAAGTAGCTGGGACTACAGATGTGTACCACCATGCCCGGCTAATTTTTTGTATATATATTTTTAGTTGGTCAATTAATTTCTTTCTACTTTTAGTAGAGACAGGGGTCTCGCTCTTGCTCAGGCTGGTTTCGAACTCCTGACCTTGAGTGATCCTCCCACCTTGGCCTCCCAGAGTGCTAGGATTACAGGCATGAGCCACTGCGCCCAGCCAAGAATACTTCCACAAGTTCATTGAAAAGCTTACAATAAAGTTAAGTTCAAACTCTGGATTTTTTAACCTGAATAATGAAAAAGCCAAAGTACAGACTTGAAAAAAACTGATTTCAAGCCTACTTTCTTAATCAGTTCATCATATAATCTTCAATCCCTTAGCAGCTATGATGCAAAGGCAAGATATACTTCCAGTATCCCCCAAAAGACATTCCCCTGCACACTTCTCAGAAACTTTAACTCTGCTGTTAACAAATGTAGCAGTGAGGAGAGAAGGTTATGACAGAGTGGGGAAAGCTTCTGCTTTATTAGAATACTGTCATTTGTTGTTGATTTTTTTATTTTTGTCCTTTTTTTGGTTCATCCTAGTTTGTCCTCGATGTTTTTTAATACATAAAGATTAAGTATGATAAAAAAGGAAGGTGTAAATTGAAATACATACGGTTGAGGCCAATGTCATGGTATGTCAGTATAACTGGTCTATTTCCCTTTGGTAAGCCTCTTATAGTGACGCGGACCATACCATGGGTTGTTTCTATGTCATGTTCCTGTAATAAGAAAACATAAAGTCTCAGTAAAGGCAGAATAAATATTCCAGGTTGCCAAAGTTTCACAATGACACTTCATCACCATTTCCCACTGGCTGGGTTAGGACACAGTAATAAAACATAAGCATACCAGAGAAGGGCTGTATTATATATAATATTTATATTTTCTAATTCTTCCAGATAGATAAATAAATAGAGAGAAAAGCACACCTTGTCATCCCTAAAACTCACTTAAGAGTCCAAGAAGTCAGGAATCTGTTGAAGAAACATTTGCAACTGGCTAAGGAAGGGAGATCAGTAAGTTGGGTTAAAGAGTCAGTTAAGACTTGAGGGAAGAAAAGTTAAGGAAACAGAGATATGTAGAAGTTGCTGAGTAAAAAGGTCAGAGGGTTCAGAGCCTATAAACAAATGTTCAGCTACCGATAATTTCAGTACACACCTATGAGTGTCTCTGCCTAGGATTTCTCTTCTTTCCTGACAGCCAGCAGGAGCTCTTGGCCACCATGATTGTAGAATATAACTTATAGCCACAGCTTACTGGAGTCAGGTAGGCATCTTGCCCATCCCTCGCTAGCAATCTGTAATTGGTACTAAGAGATTTCATCCTAAGCCCGGTTCTTCTCTTGAAAATAGCAGTTTGGAGCTTTTATTTTTTTTTTTCTGAGACAGAGTCTCACTCTGTTGCCCTGACTAGAGTGCTGTGGCGTCAGCCTAGCTCACAGCAACCTCAAACTCCTGGGCTCAAGCAATCCTCCTGCCTCAGCCTCCCGAGTAGCTGGGACTACACACACATGCCACCATGTCCAGCAAACTATATATATCTGATTAATTTCTTTTTATTTTTAGTAGAGAAGGGGTCTCGCTCTTGCTCAGGCTTGTTTCGAACTTCTGACCTTGAGCAATCCTCCCACCTCGGCCTCCAGAGTGCTAGGATTACAGGCGTGAGCCACCGCGCTCCGCCCAGGCTTGATGACTTTCACAGCTTTTTGTGTAACAATGATGGTACCTTAGACGATGTAATCCTTCCAGACTTTCATGATGTTCTACCGGGCTCTCTTCCATAGTGTTGGCGATTCTTTCCACAGCGTATCTGATGTGATGAACCTTAAAGGTCCATATGACCCCCTGAGCTAGAGGCTGAACACTGTGTTTGAGGACAAGCAGACCACTTTGATGCCTTCAGTATTGAACTCATGGGGTCCTGGGTGGCCAGAACCAATACCGAAAGAACTTTAAAGGCAGTCCCTTTCTAGCAAGGTACTTCCTGACTTCAAGGACAAAGCATCAATGGAACCAATCCAGAAAAAGGATTCTCATTTTTAAGGCCTTCTTTTCGTACAACCAAAAGACTGGCAGCTGGTGTTTATCTTTTCCCTGTAAGGCGTGGGGTTGGCAGCTGTATAGAAAGGGCAATCTTCATCATAAATCTGACAAAACAGTAGAGTCACCCTAACCCTTCCTGCCTTAAATCCCGGTGCTTGCTTCTCTTCCTTACAAATAAATATCCTTTGTGGCATTTTCTTCTCAGAACAGGGCACATTTGTTTGCATCAAAACCTGTTCAGGCAGATACCCTTTCTCCTTAATGATTTTCTTAATGGTGTTTGCGAACTCGTCTGCTGCTTCTTGGGTGGCAGTAGCTGCTTCTCCTGTTATCTTCACATTTTTTAAGCCAAATCTCTTTCTAAAATTATCATACCATATTTTGCTGGCATTAAGTTCTCCAGCTATAGTTCCTTAACCTTCCTTTTGCTTTAAGTTGTAATATAATGACTTCTTTTTCTCAAATCACATTAGAACCTATAGGTATGCCTCTTTTATAGCAACGCTGCACCCACATAAAAGCTCTATTTTCAATATGAGATAAAAATGTATTTTGGGCCGGGTGTAGTGCCTCATGCCTATAATCCTAGCACTCTGGGAGGCTGAGCTGGGAGGACTGCTTGAGCTCAGGAGTTTTAGACCAGCATCAGCAAGAGTGAGACACCATGTCTAGTAAAAATAGAAAAATTAGCCAGGCGTCATGGTGTGCATCTGTAGTCTCAGCTACTCGGAGACTGAGACAGGAGGATCCCTTGAGCCTAGGAGTTTGAGGTTGCAGTGAGCTAAGATGATACCACTATACCACTCTATCCAGGGCAACACAGTGAGACTGTCTAAAAAAATGTATTTTGAAAAAAGTGCAAGGTTTTTATACCTGTTAGCATAGGTGTAGTGACAGCTTCATGAATTTCCTTTCTTTTTTTTTTTACTATGGTCCTTACACTGGATTCATTTGTCTTGAGATGATGGGTAAGCACAGCTATACACGATTTTACAGTACATATTGAGCAATTCAATTTTTTGTTGTAATGTCATGACTTTTTTCTGCTTCTTGGGAGCACTTCCAGCATCACTAGTGGCACTTTGGGTTTTGGGGTTCCCCCCCCAGACACAGGGTCTTATGCTGTCACCCAGGCTGAAGTTCAGTGGCACAGTCATAGCTCACTGTAACTTTGAACTCCCAGGATCAAATGACCCTCCTGCCTCAGACAAGAGGCACTTTGTATGGATCCCATGGTATCATTGAAGGTTTATGGTATTGCACTAAACCTGATGAAAGACATGCAAGAACCTCAAGACATCACTTTTACTGTTATACACAATTTACTAGACAAACTGCTCACACAGACATGATTATTGTCACTTGGCATTTTAAGCACATACAAATATTTGAGCTCATCACAATAGCAACAGGAGGTAGATACAAAATTATTACAATAGTACAGTACGTGCAACAGTTAACTTTATGCAGTTATGACCTAATGCTGCAAGTTTATGTTTGTTTCCATTTCTCTGGACTATGAATGGTGCCATGTGTTTATGTGCATCAGTTTTCACTTTTTATAATGTATTTGTGTATATTTAATGACAGTAAGTGATATGATACATTAGTGTCTACATGTATTTTATGCATTCATGACATAGCTAACTTTTTTCATATTTTTCTGATATTCCTAGGCTATGTGGTTTGTCTGCGAGTTTTTTCGAACTCTTCCAAATCTCAAAAACATTTTCCAATATACTTTTTGAAAAAAGCCACATATAAATGGACCCATGCAGTCCAAACGTTGTTGTTCAAGGGTCAACTGTACATTGTAGCCTTCTTTATAAATAAAAAAACTTAGAAACATTACAAATATTCATCACTGGTGAAACTGATAAATGAATTATGATCTATTAACATAATGAAATACAGATAAAAATGAATGAGCTAGCACTATAAGCATAGTACAGAGAAAATCTTGAAAAAAAATGCTGAGTAAAAGTATGAGGCAGAAGGATGCATGTGCAACATATCACTTATGTCAATTTTTAAAAAAGCAATACTATAGATTGTATATGTTTACATATATATTTAAAGTACAAAAACTTGGGGGGAAAGGAATATACACTAACTTTAGGACTTTGTTTCCTTCTGGGAGGGGATGGATTATGAAAGAGAACTTAAGGAGGCTTCAGAATCTCTCATGTTTTGATTCTTGAAAGAAAGAATGAAGAGGGAGGGGGAAGAAGACAGTGTGGCACTCTGGCATTTGGAGTGACACAATAGATGAACCCAAGTGGAAAAGTGTCCAACAACTTGTCACCTTGACAATCTGGTTGCTGCAGCTGGCCTTCTGTCATACCAAAACCTTCAGCACACTCCTGCTTGAATAGCCCAGCTTGGCCTCAACTGTGCTACTGAGAACTGAAAGAATCCACCAGTTTGCACTTTGGCCCTAAGAGTAGCAAGACCTCCCCAAGGCCAGGCAGGTAATTGATAGTGATGGGTAGGGGGATAGTGAGCTGCTAGGGAAGGTCAGGAGGATGATGAAAAGAAAGGTACTGCTTTGTCATCAATCCATAATCTGGATGAAATTCAGAGTTAACATTGGCTCCTTACAAAATCACAACTTTTTAGGGAGATATCAGGCTCTGCCATCCCGTAACATGCCCTCAAATCACGTAATAACCAAAGTTTCAAAGGACTAAGAGTCCTAGGTCCTATTTGTTGCTCTATATGGAGCAGCCCTTGGTTGTCAATGTCTCATAAAGTTCTCCATTTTCAAAGCATATGAATTTAAATGTTCTTAGCAGAATAAAGAAAAAAAGAAAGGAGGCACTCACTTTCATGGGAATTTGCATGCACACCTTTGGTGACCTTGTCGATGAACAGCTTGAAACAGGTTCCATCTGGAGATGAGTGTACAGAGAGAGACCTTGGCTACAGAGATGATTCAATGGTCAGGCCACTGCAGGGAGTCACGTGTGCTGCCACCTTTCCGCTTTAGTCAACTATCATCTGTTTTATAGGCTCTTTCTCCAGTGACCTCACGCCCCACCCCAGCATTCTAGAGAGTGACCACACAATGAGAGGTGTGCTCAAAGGGAGCATCGGACAGGCTCCGGTCATAGCTCTTTCCCAGCCCTCTCTGATTACTGACCATCTTCAAGTCTCTGTATTCCCTGAAGATGATCCCCCATCCCTTCATTCTCCAGGCTTATAAAACAACCTGAAATCATAAAGATCCTGGACCTACTTCTCTACCTGGAGTGCCTCTCCCACCTGACAAAAGATGTAGTCTTAATCAGAAAGCCTTTTTAAGAATTTAAGAGTTTAGTATATTAACATTATTTGATAATTAACTTTCACCTTTTTCTTGCGTCTTCTCCTTTCAGCTAAATGTGCTGTCACCAGGATGACACTATCACCTAACTTGTCCTATACCTCTAAATTTACTAAATGATGATCACATCATGCCTGTTACTACTTCTTCCCTTCCCTAGTCAGTCTGAAATAGTTTAGGTACATGCATATGACAGCATAGTCCAGGAAATGTCAACATTTTTTTTTTTTTTTGAGACAGAGTCTCCCTTGTTGCCCAGGCTAGAGTGAGTGCCATGGTGTCAGCCTAGCTCACAGCAACCTCAAACTCCTGGGCTCAAGCAATCCTTCTGCCTCAGCCTCCCGAGTAGCTG